GTCAGAGTCCGTTTCCGACAATTTGTGGTACGACAAACGCGGACAAGCACGGGTTGCAAATTGTCGGAAACTGACGAAAATCAGGCAGATCTGCGGGAGTTTACGGGGGTTTACGGGGACGAAAATCTCACTTTTCATGCAGTGACACTTTGGGCCACTTAAAACCAATTTAGCATGCTGACCTATGACCTTATGACCACAGTGTGTGGCAATAAATATCCCCCAAATAGATGGTAGAAATAGATCAGGCTCAGTATAGCCTAATTATAGACTCTTACATTTTAGCTTGAATTGATTTATTTAATTAAAGTACGCTAGATTACTGTGTATGCAAATGTTATGTAAAAGAAAATACACAAAATAATTTACTTCAAAAATTAGTTTTAATCAGAATCAGTTGGCTGTAATGGTTAATTTTTTTTTTTAGATTTCCACTTTTTTTTTTTTTTGTTATTGAATATATAAGAAAACAATAACAATCTCAAACAACAAGTCAATAACAAATATTTCAATACAAGAAGAAATATCACAACTCCTGCTTTTGAAAAATAAAATTAAATGCACAGGCTGGAACAAAGTATAAAATAAAATAAATAAAAATAAATAAAATAATAATAGGGTTTAAAGTAAATTAATCAGTGGGGACTACCAACTGAAATTCTTCAATTAACTCAAACAATTTAATTGCATTTAAATTCTGCATCTTTCTCAGACATCTTTTGAAAAGGGAAAGTTCATTTTTGAGAGCAGAGATTGAGAGGGAGCATTTTGCATAGCGACATTTATGGATATAATACTTTGTTACAATTATTAGAATATTGATTAAAAATTCCAAATTTTTTTTCTTTAATGGATAAACCGAATTGAATGTTTTGCCAGGAAATAAAATCTAAATTTATTGTTTTAGAAGACAGAAAGGTTCGAAGTTGATCCCATAAGTTTAATACTTCTTTACATTCATAAAAAAGATGTTTAGTTGTTTCCAATTGAGTTGTACAAAAGCCACAATTCTCAACATTAAACTTAAATCTCTCTCTTAAAAACTCATTTGAAGGATATATGTTATTTATTATTTTAAATTGTAATTCTTTATATTTACGAGGAATTGGGAATTTCAAATAATTTGTCCTAATTTTGACTATCATAGATTTCTTAAAATTTTGTTAGAGAGCTGTGCTTTTTGTTCTTCCTGGGTACATATTATTTATAGAATATTGATTCAAAAACTTGTTGTTGCATTTATTATCTCTAATGTCCACCTGCTCAAATTCAATCTTATGGAGACAAACAATTGCAATTGCAAACAATTTATAGGTGCATTACCGCCACCTTTCAGAATGGAGCGACGCGAGCTCTTCTCGCGAGTCCTTCCGTATAACAATGACGTCGTATGTGATTGGAGGAGCCTGATGAGCCTTCGGCCCCATCGTCCAATCACGTGTGAGCTTTTGTGCACTACGACTTCTCGCGAGACCAGCATATTAGCAGACATGTTTGTGTTACTACACTTAGAAGAACTTCATCTCCATTTACCGTGTTTGTATTTTGTTGTTACGTGAACAATGGCTGCACGACGTCTCGCGTTCAACTCGCCTCCAACTGCTCTTAGTCCACAACTTTCGGCCAGCCCGCAGACTGACGAGAAGAAACTGCTGATTGCTATCAGCGGACTGTCTCGTCAGCTTGCCCAACATACTGCCGACATGAATGAACGCCTCACTCAGCTGGAGAATTCGATGCGCTCCAGGTTGTAGTCCATAGAGGACAAGATGGCGGCTCTGCAGTCGAGCAACTTTGCAGGATATACGAACTCGAGGAAGAGAAGACGGGTGAACAACGCCACGCTAGCGGTAAATATATGTTCGATTACTGGTAGCTATGCTAAAAGCAGCCTAGCTTAGCTAGGCAAGCTAAAGACAACCTAGCCTAGCTAGGTAAGCTAAAAGCAGCCTAGCCTAAAGCTTTATTAAAGTGTATTTTTTGTGATTCACAGGAAGCAATATGCCGTCTTAACAACTCGGAAACTAATTGCAGGCGCTATGAACCGGAGCAGGGGTAAGGTTTAAAGAATATGCTTTCATTCTGCGGTAAAAGGACATGGATACGGATGGATACCGACCATAGCTGTACTTTTTTTTTTTTTTCACAGACTACAGTCGCCTCACAATGAGGCGGTGACCTCCTATTTGCTCGGATTTGCACGATGTTGATAAAGACGACATTGTGTGTAAGTGACTTGTTTTAATGTTTTCTCCTTCCTTGTTACTGTGACTTTGATTTTTTTTTTTTATTCATACCACTCTCATGTAATTGTTTTCCAGCTGCCTGTAAGACGTATTATGAGACGGTATGCAGGAGCTTCAGATACACGCTGCTAGCCAGCACGCTGCGTGCGGAGGCTGCCAGGCTATCTACCCGGAGTCGGGCCAGAAGAAAGAGAGTAAGACTTTATTTGGTGACTATTTTTCAGGTGCATTGATAGATGTGTTGTGTCCATATGCAGTGCGCTGATTCATTGTTTTTTTTTCAGCTGCTGAAGGCGAGGCAGAGTGTGCTATCAGATGAGGAAGTGGAACTCTGTAAGTCCGCCACCGTCGACCTCATGTCCGACGAAGAAGATGGCGTCGTCGGCGGTGTCTCTGGATGGATTGTACGGTCGCCGCCATTTCGTAGGCCGGATCTCACTGAACTCTGTGTTAAGCTGCAGTCCTGGTTAGAAGCGATGCCGAAGAACAGGGCCACGCACAGTATGCGTCTGCACATCGGACCTGCCTCGGAGGGAATGCTGCCTGTTACCTCCAACCCCGAGGAAGCAAACGGACCGTTCACGGAGTTGTAATTTTTAGATACGCATGTGTTTGGATACGCGTTGTATATAGTTGTGTGTGTTTTAATAAAGCTCTTTCTTTGCATAAACAGCTTCCTGGCAAATCTTCATTTCCTGTATAAATTCATTCATGTCCTTGATGGTAGCATAATAATTGTGTAGTAGTGTAGGATAACATAAATACACAGCATATGAATGAATAAATATATGAATGAATAAATATATGAATATATATATATATGAATGAATAAATATATATATGAATAAATATATATGTAAATATATATATATATGCCAACCAATCACGAGCGACTTTACTTGTTTAAAAGGAAGCGGTTCCGTCCAATACTCAGTAAGAAAATTAAAGCCTGGCGTGGCCACGTGTGGTTTTGCTGCCAATCACGAGCGATTTCACTTGTTTGAGAATAGTGGTTTCAGCCAATACTGAGAAGGTTATCCAAGCCAGACCTGGCCAGCCGCGCGGGTTTGCTGCATTCATATGCTAATTAGGGCCATTAGTACAGCTGATCGCTCTCCACATACGTCAGAGTCCGTTTCCGACAATTTGTGGCACGACAAACGCGGACAAGCACGGGTTGCAAATTGTCGGAAACTGACGAAAATCAGGCAGATCTGTGGGAGTTTACGGGGGTTTACGGGGACGAAAATCTCACTTTTCATGCAGTGATAAGTAGAGGTAATGCAGCCTGATGATATTTACACCCCATCAGATACCGTTCCCCCCATATAAAGCAGGGGGAACGCTATCTGACGGGGTTTATACGCCCGTCAGTTAGCGTTCCCCCCTCAATGTCATTTACATTGAGTTGCAATAAATGCAAAACTCTCTGCAGGTTCTTGTCTTTGTCTTCCGCTCTATTCAGCTGTCTTTGGAAACACGGTGAGAAGGTGGGGGCCGGGTGGTGAGGGTTACGAGGGCGAGAAACGCAAAAGTAACGCAATAGTTACTTTTACTAGTAATTAGTTACTTTTATTGTGGACTAACTCAGTTACTAACTCAGTTAATTTTTGGGGAGAAGTAACTAGTAACTATAACTAATTACTTTTTCAAAGTAACGTGCCCAAGACTGGTCTTTATGTGTGGGTGTTGGGACGGAATAAATATCCACATGCTGTGAGATGGACAATTAGGATTCAATTAACTCTCCTGTGCTCTAACATGGCCCAAATATCATATTTTCTCCACACACACACATACACAGACGCGTTACCTCCCCTGGTCCATTGCATTGAATAGGGCCTCTGTAGCCACCACTGCTACATGGTGCAGATATTAAAGATAACAGCAGATGGCGCTGGTTAATTCCCAATACAGTTGGATTTAACCAAGGCTCATTTGTTACTGTAAACAAAAAAGAAAAAATATATAAAGATTGGATATGCATAGATGCAAGATTGCATATGAGATTTCTATTATGTGTTTCATAAAAATCAACTTTAACAAATACATCATAGAAGGTTGGAGTAGGGATAGGGGTTAGTTAGGTTAAAACGAGCCAACATAAAAAGAAAAAGTGGTGGTCCTTATCCAATTTAACAGGGTTGGGCGAGTGTTTTTAATGGGGCACAGGAAAAAGAACAGCAAACAAACAAACAAAAAAAATAGGGTACAGGACAGGTGCAGTTATTATATTAGGTGAGACACAAAACCAAGGTTGATGCCCCTGAACTAAAGATGAAAAACCTTTTATTAACAGGGCTGGCTAAATAACTGTTAACATGAAGTGTAATGGAAAAGTGTCGAATGAAATCTGCAAAGATTGAAATAAGTAAAAAAATATTTAAAAAAAAAGTGCATTTGCCCTTAATTCATGCAGGTAAATAAGAGATTCAACAAAGGGAAATAATAATGCTGCTCATATATTAACATAATTAGATATGATGCAGTGAAAATAAGATAAGAATTATATATTTAACATAAATCAACTTATTATGTTGGCAAATTATCCGCTTAAGTTAAGGGAAAATTGCACTTAATTAACAAAAATGCACTTGCCTTTAATTCAATTTTGGAGTATATGTTTTAAGTGGGGGGACCATAACAAGGACAAAAAATAAACAAAAACAAAATGTTCTGTTTCTGCGCCTGTCTCTTATTTTGAAGCGCGGCTTGTTCTGTTCCGGATGTTAAAGCTTTTACTTTGCAGCTGTTTATCAAAACAGAGCAGCTGAAAAACACTGCGGATTGCTGCAGTGCTGCTCCTGTTTCCTCTGATAAATCCTCTCCTCCTCCTCTAACTGCGGATTTTCCCCCATTATTTTAATCCTTCATCCTGAGGGGAGGATCTCTGCGCATGACAGCCTGTGGGAGGACAGCTGCTGCGGACCGAGGGTTGCCCTTGACTAGGGGAGGAGCTGGAGAGGACAGCGGGGGCCCCCATCTCGCCCAGCACTGATGGATGGGACATTGTGACGGAGCTGGACCGCCGGGGGATGCTGGCCGGGCCCCGCAGAGGGACTTCATCTCAGCCGGCCGTGGAGCAGCAGCAAAGGGGGATCTGCTGGGAGCCCCGGTGAGGGAAGCCTAAATGTTCTCCACCTTAGGATTAGATTGTGTCAGAAGGCAAGTGTGCATGAGCAGATAAACAAAGCCAGCCCAGACTGAGGTGTCTGCACTGCAGATAAGCAGAAGCTGCATCATTTCTTTCTGTATTGTTGTTCTAATGTGGGCCTCCAGTTCTTATTGATTGTCCAGACTGGTGATAACCATCATGGCATCAGTGACTGAACTCTGACTGTGATCTTGCACTGTGAGGTTTTTAGGCTTTGTTAGAAATAATGGCTGAGCATGAGGAGGCAGAGTTGTCGGAGTCTCTTAGGAACGAGGATGGATTCTCCAGTGAACCAGAAGAGCCGGGTACCAATTTCAAATCCAAAAGTTTGCCGGTCTTAAATGAAGCAGCTCCCCAGGAGAAAACTTTACTGGACAGCTCCACATGTATGTCCATAACAGCTGAGGAGAGCTCAGAGTTCATCCGGCTGCCCAAAAAGAAAGAATCTTTCCAGTCGGAGTCCCCAGTGAGATCCGGCTACCTGACAAAGCCTGGGAAGTCATCTCTGAACAGGCCGAGCTCCTACATGGAAAACACGGAGATCCGTAGGAGTAAAACCTTGGTCAGTAGGAACCCCCCGAACTTTTTCACGTCCAGACTCGCTCAGATCCGCCTGCCGAGCAGGAAGTACCTGAGCCTCATCCTGCAGGACTCTCGCTGCTTCCTGTTCTGCATGTGTTACCTGACTTTCATCCAATCTCTCATGGTGTCCGGCTACCTCAGCAGCGTCATCACCACCATAGAGAAGAGGTACAGCCTGAGGAGCTCAGAATCAGGCCTCCTGGTCAGCTGCTTTGACATCGGAAGCCTCCTGGTGGTGGTCTTCATCAGCTACTTTGGTGGAAGGGGTCAGAGGCCTCGCTGGCTGGCGGTTGGTGGGATCTTCATCGCTGTGGGCGCCGCTCTCTTCTCCTTACCTCACTTCATCTCCCCGGCCTACCAAATCCAGGAACTCAACTCATCCTCTGCTAACGAAGGCCTGTGTCTGAACAGCAACGCCAGCGGCAGGGATCGAGTGGACATCACTTCCTGTCCCAGGGACCAGGATGGCAACGAACATCGGCTGTATGTGGCGTTGTTTGTCATCGCACAGATCCTGGTGGGAATGGGCTCCACGCCCATCTACACACTGGGACCCACATACCTGGATGACAACGTCAAGAAGGAGAACGCCTCGCTCTATCTGGGTAAGAGTCACTTTTAACGGGACAAGGACTCCCCATTAGGTTTTACTGGGAATTCAAACCCATCCAGAGTCTAGAGAGACAATGGGCGTTTCTCAATTGACGAGAACGCGAGTACGTACTCGCGTTCTCGTCAAGTCCGTTCTTGGCGAGAACGCAGGAAGATCGGACTTGACGAGAACGCGAGCATGCAAGCATGTATGTGTATTAGATCTATGTATGTGTATTAGCATGTATGTGTATTAGAACGCGAGTACGTACTCGCGTTCTCGTCAAGTCCGTTCTTGGCGAGAACGCAGGAAGATCGGACTTGACGAGAACGCGAGTACGTACTCGCGTTCTCGTCAAGTCCGTTCTTGGCGAGAACGCAGGAAGATCGGACTTGACGAGAACGCGAGCATGCAAGCATGTATGTGTATTAGAGACTGACACGGGAGTGGATTTTCACTCCTGTCCCGTCCCACTCCCACAGAAAAAAATGGTGTCCCGTCCAGATCCCGGGCCAGAGTAGAAATCTAAATCCTGTCCCGTCCCACTCCTGGTGAAATTACTCCGACTCCCATCCCGCTCCCATTCAGAATGACTCCCGCTCCCGCACCACTCCCATTCTTGTTGTTTTTGAGCGCGGGTGAAAAACTCAGAGCGGAAGTTACTATTGGTTTGCTCCCGCTCCCGTCTGCTCCCGTTAATGTTTAATCCTGTACCGTCCCAATCCCGTGATCGTTACTAATACTGACTCCCATCCCACGGGAATCCCACGGGAATCCCGTGACCCATGGGATTCCCGAAAAAATGTCAGTCTCTAATGTGTATTGGAGCAGAAACGTACTCGTGACGTCATCACAGGCAACGTTGCTTAGCATTTCTTTAACAGTCAAAACTATTTATTCCCTACACAAAACATTTTGAAAACAATATTTTTAATTTCTAAAGCTTAAAAAACATTAAAAAAAATTACCGAACCGCAAAAAAACGCCATCAGAACGAGCGGTAGTTCACACATAACTAGACCGAGAGAAGTGCACTACAGACGGGGTAAATTTAGCCCTGGCTGCGGTTACCCTCGGAGGTCTGCTGGTCCCTCTGGTCCGCTCAACGTCTGACTTTTTTTTTTTATTTCGCACTATCTCTGTAAACAGACCACACAGGGAGGCTTAAATGTATAATGTTATCGCTTCAAACGATTTCAAAACGTACTTTTGAAGAACAACAGCAGCAGAAAAGGGAATGTTTAACTTAACACTGTGAGCGCTGTCTCGAATCAAGCTGCGGCCGCGGGGCATTCTGGGAAAGCGGTCAGTATGAAGAACGCACAAGTCTGCTCTGATGCATGCTCGATAAAGAGGGCGGGGTGAGAACAACATCCGGGGATTTAATGCGTTCTCGATCTGGCGTTCTTGAGAATTGGAACGGTACTCGGGCTGAGGCTGATGACGTATCACGAGTACACGAGCACACGAGAACGCTCAAGAACGCATATTGAGAAACGGCCAATGTCCTGCAAAGCACTGTCCTCAGCACATTAGGCGGCCATCTTGGGTTTAGTGGAAGCGCTTGGTGACAAACCGCCAAGTTTCTGAAGCAGATCTTCTGGCAGTTTTCTTCTTGGGGAGAAAATATGATTTTAATTCTGCATGCTTGAAAATACAAACCAAAATGAAGAGTAATTTCTATTGGATCATTTTACTCTGCACATTACAGTAGGGCTGCAACTAACGATTATTTTGCAAATCAATTTATCTGTCGATTATTTTTTTCGATTAATCGATTCATAATTGGATAGCCAAAGGTTCCTTAGAGAAGATTTTTATGAAATAAAGCCAGGTTTAACTACAACTTTTCCACTGTAGGAGTTCTGGATAGAGCATATTGACAGGCAAAAACATTATTTTTATCTTAAATGTAAAATGTAAATAGATTTTCTTTACAATTTAGATATAATTACTGCTCTGAATGGGTTGCTCTGTCAGCTTAAGGCATGTTTTAGAGTCTCTATACTCCAGTTAATGATTAATCTATTTCTAAATTAGTTGAGGATTACTTTAATCGATTAATCACGATTATTCTGATTAATTGTTCAGCCATACATTAGAGTATGCATCTAAAAATGTGATTCTCTAACATCTTTAACAGACTAACAAGAAAAATGTGAAAAATAATGAATATTTTTAACAGCAGTACAACTTTTCTTGCAGCTTCTAGTTGTCCTGCTGTTATTGCTGCTGGGTATCATTCAGCAGTGGTTCAGAAAGTCCATGGAGAATCTTTGACACTATTAAGAGTCCAGTTCCTGCAGCAGCTCTGCCACAGACCATGGACAGAGACTAGGGATACTCCATTGGATATCTCAGCTCCTCTCACTATCCTTTCCTGGGCCATTTTGTCTACAATATATTGCAGGCTGGAGATGGAGTATCTTAGCACTCTTAATTCCAGATCTTATATGGAGAGGTTGTTTTATTTTGTAGCTCTGGTTTAGATAAAGTAAAACTAGCTGTTCTGAAAGTACTTTCAATCAAGTTAATAAATGATGCGCAAAGGTTTCAAAAAACAACCTAAACTAAAAGGTTTAATTTAATTCAGTTTGAATTAATTCCTCCTAAATGTAGTCGTGATAATGCAATAAGAAATATTACAAATAAAATATCAATGCATGGAAAAGACTTATGTGTTTTAAGCTTTGTTAAAGGTTTAAGGGTTCTGTTTTTTACTCCTGCAGCAGCAGTGACGTTCAGCTCTGATTTTACACCACAGCAGCCACTCTCTCTGTTGACTCAGGGTATATGAGGACATTTGAAAACTGCTCCAGAAAGATCTGCAAGCAGATCAGCCGTCGTAAGAGCCGTCACCTCGCAGGTCCTTTCACATCCTACCCCAGAAATTCTCGCCCCAGTAGCCTCCAGCTTTACAGTAATTAAAGCAGCAAATGAGAGCAAGGTTTATGAAAGAGGGTGAGGGAGGGTGAATACCAACAGGGAGGTCCTCTGTGATTCTGTAGTCGGGGCGAAAATTCGAAAGCCCCTCAGAGGCCTGGATTCAGTTGGAACTTCATGTTCTTTTGGAAATGACTTGAATAGTAACAAGGTTTGATCCTGGGAGAAGCCGATGGTTGTGTGGACTCACTGGGATTGAGACTTACTATAATAACCCTTTACTGTCAGAATCTAACGTTTAGATTTATTTAATCCCACTCTAAAATAAGGAGATATGGTGCATAAACCAAAAAAAAAAACTCGGTTTAGTTGTAGTAAAAGAGTTTATGTTATAAAAACCCAGATTTTTTTGTGTGTTCTGCAGTATTCATAGCTGTCTTAAATTACCACTAGTTCACAGAATGAGGGGAAAAAAGGCAGTAAGTCAGTAAGTCTGGGGTTATCTCTTCATATCAGATTTTAAACAATGAAAATCACTGAACCCACAGAAAATGCTCTATATCCTCTGCATCTTCCTCCCCATGCATCTTTAGCTTTAAATCATACAGCATGGACTTGATGTCAAGCATAACGAAGTGTTTTATTATGTTATCAGAGCTCTTGATCATCTAGCATTGTTTGATTTAAATTGGGAAAGCTGATTATTGGCTACTTTCAGTTTTCTTTGTGTTTAAAACGGCGTTTCAGTTGAAAACAGAAGCGTCCTTCTCAGAACAAAATCTTCATTCTAAAGGAGATACAGTAGCAACAACTTTAACTCCTCCTGTTCAGAAGGTCTGCTAATTCTAATGCTTTTACTGTTGGCCCCTTTGCATCCTTATGTTAGCACCAGTGCTGAAAGAATGACTGATCACTGTCATTTTGCTTTCTTTTTGCTTTTTGTTTGCTTAGATCTGAGAAAATTAAAATCCAAAAAGAAAGGCCATTTCTAAGCTCTATCAGGGAGCTAATATTGTCTGGCAACGCCTGAGCTCCTTCTCACCTGTCTTCAACCTACTTTTCCTATCGGTGCAGAATCCTTTCTTGCCATCATTGGTTTTGTTAAGATAAAAAAAATTTTCGGTATCAGTCAAAACGTATAAAACAATTATTTGTACGCTATATTTTTTTCATTAAATAATACTTTTTATTCTGCACCACTGCTGTGGATGTGCAGTTTTCTTTACTTTTAATTTAGTCTGTCTGTTTTCCTGCTAAAATCTGTAGAGGTTGAACATCGGACATCAACCTTACTGGGTTTGCATGGAAATGTGGGAAGAAGTTACAGCCTAAAACTTTTTAAACCCCTTTCTCTGTTTGCCTGTCTAATGTAAAAACAATGTAGACAGCCACATCATTCCTAACCAAAAAGCTTCCTGAGCAAATATCTGTGGTTTAGAATGTTTTTAGTGGCTGTCTTAAGGTTATATCTGTGTTTTCCTAACTGCTGGGCATTGCTTATAAATTCAAGTTCAATTGAAGTTGTGTTGAAAAGCGGAATCTCTTTTGGCCTGTGTGGATAACCAGAGAAGGAAACATAATGTTAGGTTCTCGTCAGTCTGCAAACTAGCTGCAGTTGTTAATTTGAAACCGTAGGATGATTTTGATAATGAAACATTCATCTGAATTTAAGTATGCATGAAGAGAAGAGGGTGAACAAGAAGAGCTGATTGTCTCGATATGAAAGCTGAAAGTATCTGCAGAGGAAAGTGCTCAGGAGAAAGGGCTTAGCATGGAGGTGTTGTACTGTAATCCTGTTGTATTTGGAGCAAACTGTGTCACAGAACAGGCATTTTATTAAAACCTCAGGAAACTGTGTCAGCCTGTAGGGAAAAAATGGGCAAAAAATATAAAATATCCTCTTTAAATATCAGGGAATTAAAGATGCTGTACGTGTTGCATTCTGTAAAAGCAAACTGTTTCGGTTTAAGTACATCCTTACTGAAATTTTGGATCAATTTGGAGATATTTTGATTTGGATAAGCACTGTTTGTATTTTTCTGAAAACACATGTTAGAAACTAGAAATCCACAAGATTTGCATGAAAAGTTAGATAGTTGAAAAGAGCTTTTTACTGATGTTCAACTGTGG